ATAATTTTGGTCAAATTTAGTCACTGTTTAATATTTAAATTGCATTAATTAATTTGTGCCATGTGTGTGTACAATGAACTAGGACGTTCAAGCAGATTTGGGAAGATCGTTGTGAGTTGTAAGTATTTTTTATTATGAACCTAGATAAGATTTTGAATTAATGCATGTATATTATTAATTTGTGTGTGTTTTAAACATAGAACATATATTGACTCGATTTTTTGATGAAGAACAAAAACCGGACCTATGACAAGTGAACTCTAATATGTTTGGAATTTATGAGGAGATGGAAACCAGAAAAAAATTAAGAACTGAGGAATACTTGAACTGGTGATAAGAAATAAATTTTAAATTTAAAAGAAATCACCAATTAAGCGGAAGGTTGAGAAAAAGAAAATAAAATAACGTAAGAAAATGAATAAAAATAGAAGGGAAGTAATTATAGTTACGAAACGATTAATTTAGATAAAATTTAAGAGAAAAATAGAATAAGAGGGAAGTAAATAAAAATTAGAAAAGGAGAGGATGCAAGTGAATAGGGTATGGACCCTGAAATACCTTCTCGTTTAGTTTGAATCGATAAGGGGAGTGTGTGTGTGTGGCTGAAGTTCAGCAAGCATGGTGAACCTGCACATGGATAGAGTTTGAAATCTATTCCAGATGTGAATAAGTGTTTATGAGTGTGGGTCACCCAGCAAACGTAACTGTTATGGTCATTGTGAGATTTTGTGTGTGTTATCCATGCGATGGAAAAATTCATTTCGCCTCTTCTCGACGACAACATAAACGACTCGCGTGATGAAATTTTAGAGATGATCTTTCGAGTGTATATATGATATTTTGAGCGTATGTTGTTATATTTCGAGATTATGAATGATATTCGAGTGTATATATGTTCTTTCGAGTGTATGTAGTTGTACTTCGAGGTTGTAAATGATATTCGAATAAAATTTAGAAATCATCATAAACATATGAAACTAGAATGTCCAAAATAATTGTATTTAATAAGCAAATTCTGATTTAGAAAATGATAAAAATTACAAATAAATTTTGCATTGAAAACATTATTACTGTATTTGTCTCATATTGAATGTTTTTGCATAAAATCTTATCTAGGTTTGAAAGAACAAAAATACTTATTGAGCCGGTGAAACTCATTAAATTTCACTATGATATTTTTCATAAGAAAAAGAAGAGTCATAACCGCTGTCAGACGAGTAGAACCTGTAAAAGGGTTCCTGTTATGTATATTTTGTGCATATTCAAAAAAAAATCGTTTTGTTTTGTTAAACTCTAAATTTTAATATCATGTGCTATATATATAACAACTATATATATCATATAAAATGTTAGGTTGTATGTTAAATTTATGTATATTCTGCGAGCCTATTGTATGAAAATGACCTGAGTAGAAATTACGTCTCAAACCGGGTTTGGGGTGTCACATTATCACTTAAGTGATTTGATGTATTTTGATTTTTTATGATAGTGAAAAAATTTCTTCTCATTCTTATTCGTAAACGTAGATATCTTTGTCGAACTAAGTAAATTTTGTATTTTCTTTTTTTACTCATTACTTTGTGTAATATTGTGTGCGAATTTGGGATTAATTTTCACAACAAAAGTTTTTATAATTTTTGATATAGATATTTTAGTAAAAAAAACAAATGCTCACTTTTCTATTTTGACATAAGCCCTACGTAACAAAACAAGCACTACATTAACTTACTTTTCATTTGGGTCCATAAAAAAATTATCAGTTTCAAAAAAGAAAACTTACTTTTCAATTTGGGAGACATAACAAAAATTCAAAAGTTGGGGGTAGTTTTCTAATATTGTAAAACTAAAAGGTAGTAAATGATGAAGGAAAAGGAAACAGAGCTTAAGTGCCGAAAACTGTAAACAACTGTCCCTGGAACCTCTAAATTGGAAACTGGAAACTGTTTATTAGCCCGAAAGACGAACTCAACCCCAAGCGAGAAAACCGGATTAGGGTTTCTTGAACTCATCAATTGCCATTGTACCGACTCGGAAATCCATTGATGCGAATCTTCCTTCGGCCTGTGTATGTAATTCGTCTCTCGATTTCTTTTACTTTAAATGCGTATTTACCCTTTCTGTAATATGATATTTTGTTTAATGTAATCTATTGACAATGTAGTTGTGCTGAGTTAGAAAGTTCGAAAGCGCTTTTTTTTTTTCCTTTTGTAAAATAAGCAATGGAATTTTGCCCAACTTGTGGGAACTTGTTGCTGTACGAGAGGCGAGAGCGCAATTGCAGATTCTTCTGCCCGGCATGTCCCTACGTTGCTTATATTGAGGACAAGGTATTCATAGCTAAATGTTTTTGTCTGCATATGTGTGTGTATCTGCAGTTGCTAGTTAGTTGTTTTTTAGAAGATGTTTCTTGATATTGTTTAAGGGATAACTATTGATCTCTGTTATTGAATTGTGGGCATTTTATTTTGTCTTAATAGGTTAAAATAAGGAGAAAGACTAAGCTAGTTAGGAAAGAGGGTGAGTCCGCTCACACTCAAGAGGACATGCTGAAGGGCAAAGCCAAAACTGAAGGTTAGTTTCTTGTGTTTAATTATTCCACCATGGGTGGGATATGCTAATCTGTTTGATTTTTTTGTTATATCTGTCGTATTGGTGTTTAGCTGAGGAGTTCGGGATAATGCAAATGGACTGTATTTACCTGTTCTTTTGTTCTTATGAAAAAGAACTTATTTTGCAGGATTCCCTGTTTTCATTGTTCTTTTCTGTCATGTTCGTATGAAAGGTTTCATCTCTTTTCGGTTTTCTGCTAAAACTAAGCAGTAAGACCCTTGTTACGACATTTCATTCACACTAAATGTTGTGTTTTGTGAAATAACAAATTGGAGTTTGGCTTCCAGGAATCTAAAGTAATATGGCAGGTCTTGATAATCAAAGTGAGGAAGTAGGGAGAATGAGATGATGAGAAGGCATTGTTGTTAACGAGTCTCAGACACCTAAAAAAGTGTAAAACATAAGTCTACCACCTTTTGGGAGGTACCTTATTCTCTAACCAGCTTGCCTCTTTTGTATTCTGCTTATTGATGGGCTCCCAAATCCCCTTCCTTGCTTCCGTACCCAGAGGAAGGTCAAATATTTGATGGGTAAGGGGAAAGTGGTCCTCTTTGCCTTAAGGCCCTTGATGAGTTCAAGAAAGAGGAAGGTGGCCCATTAATGATAGAAACAGAAGAAGCAAAAGAGACACAACACCTAATCCGCCCTATAACATCTCTTCCCTGAGCCTAGATAATGGAACAAATAGAATAAAAGTTCCAACATTTCTTCTTCGCATCTAGCTTGCAGAAAACCCCAACCCTGCCTCTCTTTTTGACATATTCTGCCACTTTAATAACCATCAAAACAACATCAATATCCATTTCCCTTCTGGAGATGTAAATTGTGATTTGCAATAACTTTTCCTTTACCTTACTGAGCAGCCAAAGCCTCCAGTAGTCACTTATAGGTACAGCCACATGACTTTAGCTCAAAAATACACCAGATCACAAGCATCCTGGACTTTGGTAATGAGAACTACAAATGTGGCTTTTAGAGATTAGACAGGTAACGAATTTCCCATGTGGATAGAACTCATCAAACAATTTCATAGCGTGGTCCTTGACAAGGTTCCAGTTGTCCTGCAGAAAGACCATTGAGAATCCGTTAAGGTCAGGGGCGTTGTCACTACAATGCTTGGGACAAGTCAGATAGAATCTCTGCTTCCTCTAAGTTCCTCTCTCAACCCACCTGCTTTCCTCCAAATATAACACAGAGAAGTCTAGATCCAAGTTTATCTCAGTGTCCGAATCCTTAAAATTCCTGGTGATCTTCGTAAGGCCTCTTTCAAGGGAATAGACCTGAGCATTTCTTTAATTAGAGGGAACATTGAAGGAGTTCATTATGTAACTTGGTGAGTTAAGATAAACAAGTAGAGACTTCATTACATGGTGTAGTAAGGTACAGTTGAAAGGCTGAAAAATAAAGTGAATGGAGATAATGTGTGTAGACATTGGATTTTCATGTTGTAATGGTGATTACATGCTTCTGAGACTGGTTCAATGTCTTTGATTCCATAAGCTTTATGGTGGGCACGAAATGCATAAACATGGGGGTCAAACCTCTACCTCAAATCAAAAGTTTCCTATGAAATTCTTTAATTTAATATTCTATTGTGTTTTGGATTGCTGTCTCATTTTCCAATATATAATTTGTGAAGGAGCATTTCTATTCACTTTATTTTAACATTCTGAATATTGCTTCTGTCTCATGTTATGGCAGCAACGTGCCCAAAGTGTCAACATGACAAGGCCCTTTTTGAGTCAAAGCATATTCCTTCCGCTGATGAGCCAGAGACAAGGTTTTATAAGTGCTTGAATCCAAGTTGCGGACATACGTGGAAGGAGGAATAAAGATCATTGAGCTGTACAATGAGAATAATATCTCAAAAGGACTCCACAAGTAGGGGATAATCTATCTTACATTTTTTAATTATGAAATAGCATTTAATATTGAAAACCTTCTGAATAAATTTTGCGTGTACGATAAGGATTATAAGAAGGCTGTTCTGAGTTTCTTGGATTTGGTCTTCTCCATTCCATTTATTTGTGTAATATTATAAAGTTGAATTGCATCTTGGACCGGCCAATTTCTCGAAATTCTAGATACTAATAATCAGTATTTCAGTTACTTCTTGTCAGCACCTTTTTGATGTTTTAATGAATCTTATCCAATCGAAGCATTGATTTTATAAACCTCTATCTACCATCGGATTCATAAATCTCTGTCTACCATCAAATGACTGTGTTTATAAATCCATAGTTTAACAAAAATGAATTTGTTGTAAGAGAGTAAGTTTGGTGATGAATATGGATGTATCATCAATACAATCTAAAACACGAACTCTATGAAAGCCGAAAACAGCTAGAAGAAGCTTAAAGTTTAAGTAAGTACATGCCAAATGAGAATTAGGGTCCTACCATTCATTCATGTGGAGATCCGTAACGACAATACAATATAATTTCTGATCGCCTGTTTATCTACAATTTTGATCAGTACATTATAAGAAATAGTAATATAAGTAGCAAAAAATAATATATAGATAAACAAATCTAGAAAATTCTATACAAAGTGCACTCTCAGACGAACAACAGGAAATTTTCTCCGAAAGCACAGCAACATATACCCAAGTGGATTGCGACTTCCACAAAAAAAGAGTCGCATCCATAAAATTTACAGGAGGTTTCACTCCATATTTTTACAGCCCTTAAAGAAAGAGAACGGACAACATAAAAAGCAAGTGAATAAACTAAAAAAATTGTTGAAGTTCCTGAGTCAATGAACCGCAAGCTTTTTTTTTGCCCACCATCTCTTTTTGGTTGATTCCAGTGCCTCCTCTCTCATCCTAGAAAGCTCTTGAAACCATTGTTGATATTGTTGCTCAACTGCCTCAAGTTCCAGCTTTAGCTCTGCATCAAGATCTCTCTCACTTAACGACACAGAAGAGTTACTGCTGCTTCCTAAGCTCATAATATTAGATGCTTCAAGTAAATTGGGAAATGACAACTCTGAACTCTCTCCAATGTCATTCATTGGGATGCATTCATCGCCAATGCCACCATTTATTTGTGCTTTGCCTTCATCATGTGCATCACTTAGTTCTAGTTCAGAGGCATATTCACTTAAGGCTTTAGAGCATCCACCCATGTTTTGATCAGCAGCTTCAGATGCGCTCTCAACTTTTAGTGGAGTATCTTCAATCAGTATTTCTGAATCAATTGAAGCTTGAGATTCTAGATCTTCCAAATTGGCCAAGCTTGGAGAAGAATGATAGTCTCCATGAGAAACATCACTATCAGCGTTACCAGACATGCCTTCCGTATGGACTTGTGGATCGTCTTCTTCAGGATTTGTACTCAGTTTCAGGGACATCTTGCTCAATCATGGAGTCAGATGAAATGGCATCATGAATCCCATGGTTATCAGTGTGGCCTTGTAAGCAACCTTCTTCAGGGTTTGTATTCATGTCAGGAACATCTTGCTCAATCATGAAATCAGATGAAACGTCGTTAAGCAATGAATCCCATGGGTACCCCATTGCTGCATTGTGATTCTCAACTCTCGGGGATGTATCATAGAGACTTATTGCTCCACTCGAGGAATAATCAGATGATGGTTTCCAACTGGGTAGAAGTTTCATAATGAGATAATCAATAAACTCAGCAATGAAATCCACGTCATGATCCGCTAATTCAAGTTGTTCAACCATTTCACTGGCTACTGATAGTGCAGTATCAGTATCAAGGTAAAACAGAAAATGTATATTTCTCACTCGACCTGCAAGAAAAAGCAAGTCTGTTATTATCACACCATAAAACAGTAAGAGAACCCACTTTTTTGGCTTGCATTTCTAACTAACCATGTGAATCAGCGATGCGCAGGGTCAATGATATTGAGTTCTCATCATTTTTCTTCCCCCGCAATCTAAACTTATTATTTTTATGCATCCTCTGATATTCTAGAAATGGACTTTGATACTCTGAGACTGGCCAATTCGGACTTTCGATGTTGCTTCCTGTACACGTGCTTGAAGAAAGTTGCTTATAGTCAGAATCTATCTCCATGGACAACGGCCCAGATTTGGGGCTCTGGTTATGGAACTGCAAAGGAGTGAGTATTGGTTCCTTGGGATTTTCAGATTGGAGGAACGAGTCTTTTAGAAGTGCTGTTGCTGACAATCTCTCTGACGCTGGAGCAAGGCATTTCTCAATGAATTCCTTAATTTGGGGGTCACTCACCTTGCCGAGAGAAGCAGGTTTTATGCCCTGCAGCAGAACTAAGCTCATCAAGATTTAAATAGAGCATCAGGGTAAAGACTCTGTGAAAGGGGTACCCTGGAGATGAGGTACGATAAACTGGTGAATGAACTTACAGAGGTGACTTTCTTATAAATTTGGGCTGGATTTTTGCATTCACTGTAAGGATACTGAACGGTAACCATCTCCAACATGCACATTCCGAAAGAATAAACATCAACGAGTTCATTATATTCCTCTTCATAAAGCTCTGGTGCCATGAATTCAGGAGTACCTAATGGAAGGACATAAAAACCATACTGTTTCATATTATGTCCATTGGTTCAGAATTTAGTATTTGGGGAAAGAGTAGTTTCTTACCAATAACACTTCGAGCAGTAGGCTGCTGCATGACAATTGCTAGTCCTAAATCTCCAATTTTAACTTCTCCATTATTTCCATTAACAAAAACATTATCGCACTTTAAGTCCCTATGAATAATGGGTGGATTGTGACTATGGAGATAGACTAAGCCTCGAAGAATCTGCCTCGCCCAATTCTTTATGGCCTTCATATCCACATTCTTGTGTTTCTTACGGTATCTGGTATCAAAAGACATGCAATATCCTCAGTTTCATATAAAAATTACACAGAAAATGATGATTGAAGAACACTCAAGAAAACATACAGCCTCAGACTTCCAGATGTGAAGAGCTCAGTGATCATGTTGACAGTTTTCTTCTTATCATCTACCCAGGAACTATAAAATTTAATGATATTTTCATGTTTCAATGATCTTAGGAGATGAACCTCGGAATATAATTTTTCTAAATCTTCTGGCGACCGCAAGACATCGTCAATCCTTACTTGGTTCCAAGCTACTTCTATTCCATCCACTTCATCAAAACCCTTAAAACTGCAAAAAGAAGCATTGTTGAAGCAGATAAGCCATACTTCAGTAAAAAGTCCATTCAAATAACAACCTCTTTGAAAAATCTGACATGCAGATAAACTATGAAATATTTCTTTTTTGTTAGTAAGAGAGAGGACAGATTAGACATGCGTACACAGTCTTAAAAGCACCCCTGCCCAAGACCTCGTCGAACTGTTACAAAGAAGAAGGAAAAAAGAAATATAAAAAAATTATTAATAACAAAAGACAGCAAAAAATAGTGTCCACTTAAAGAAATAAAATACAAATCAAGCTGTGGGATCTTCATTTTTTTAATGGTACTTAATGAGATAAAAAGCAAGCACGAACACAATTATCTAGAATTTCTTCCAACTATTTGAACCAAGAAGTCGGTTTCTTTATGATTTCCTTAGGTTTCAAAAAGCTGAACTTGAAAATAAGCTCATCCATCAAGCCAAAAACTGGAAAGATTGATTTATCATAGTAAAAAGGAATGAAGATTGGTCTCAGGCGAAAAGGTGATGAAATTGCAGACTCCCAAATCATGATATATATCCAAATATAACCGCAGGATTATGCACTTATTTACACTAGGTTTGAAACAAAGAATCCAAAAAAGTAGGAAACTCATTTGCTTATCTATATTTTATGTCTAGAATTATTCCAAACCATGAAATCAATTTCATCGTATGAAATTAGACAAATCTATTTCAAATTTCATTAGAATTAGTAGAATATGAAAATGAAGCAGGTGGTTAGGGTGAGAAAAATTAAAACGCATTTAGGCTCTTGTTTGTTTTCTCTAAATAGAGTCCACCTTTGTTAGGCAAGAGTTACAGTAGGATAACCTAAGGTGACACAGAACAGGGTAGGAATTTGAAGTTGGATTGGTCATCAAAATTCTTTTTAAATTTTTATTTAAATGTTATTCAAAAATCATACAAACGACAGAAAAAAATAATGATAAAAGTTAAAAAAAAAAAAATTTAAAGTTACTTTAGTTTGTTTAAAAAATTTTTGTGCTTTGACTATTTCACATATAAATTTTAAGAAATAAACACTAAAAAGTATTTTATATGGACCAAACAAACAAAGCCTAATTTATTTCCGGATATCTGAGTAAGGGCCAAGGGGATAGGAAGGATGCATACAAGCATAATACTCTTGACGTATTTTAGGACATTAATAAATTCAAACAAATATGTTCTTACAAATCTCAATATATTCGAGCGCAAATATATTTTTTCTTCAATTCATTTGTAAATAAAATGAAATTCTATGATTAGTTTATTGTATGTAAACCCACTTTTTAGGAAAATTCCAAGCAACCAGACACAAAGCATTGGAGAGGCCGCAAGGAAAGGCAGGTTTCCCACCCACTACATTACTTTAAAGTCGTAAGTTGAAGCAATCATAACTATGAGGTTGCAGTTTGAATACAGAAATTGGCCACGAAACTGAAACTCGAGTACTCAGACTAAAAAGCCATGAAAGCAATAATTTTGTGTAGATCTGATAGCTGCAGGATAGGCTCAATAGTCGATTTCCTATCTTTGTTTGTGAAATTACTTTGCATCAAAGATTAAAAATGAATGGTAACTTGGATTGAAATAATTGAAGGTAAGAAATAGAGACGCACCCGAACATATCGACCAGTAGGATCTTTTTCTACATAATCAGATCCAGGATCAAGCGAATCCGTTATCCCAAAGGATGCAGTTTTCAAAGGCAACAACACCATTCCAGGCGCGGGATTCATTCCTGCCAAGAACCAAACAGCTACCAAAAAGACAAGGTAAAAAGTAGAACCAAGTGTTTTTTTATGAGGTAAAAGTTGTTGAGATTGGGGGATCAAAGCGATGGCTGGTTTTGGTCCCTGACGAGAGCGAAACGGCGACGTGGCTTGGAGAAAGCTTCGGAGGCAATGTAGAAGGAATCGAATGCCGATCGCAAATGGGATCGGCATCCGACTATGGTGTTGTTTGGAGGCAATGAACCAGCTGAGAAATTCATAACCCCAAATTCCATGCCACGCGATTCCATCATTGTCACACAAATCCGAGTACCACCCAACTCCCCAGTACCATCATCCTTTTCATCAATCCCAAACACTCAGCAAATTAAAAAATTTGACAAAAAAAAAAAAAAGGAGGGGGAGGGGGAAGAAGAAGGAAGAGAATTAATTCAGGTTCGTTGTTGAGATTGTGTAATGGAAAGTGAAAAAAAAAAAAAAAAAAATTGGTAAAGCAAACGGATTTGTACTTAAAAAAGGAAAAGAGAAAATCAGGGGATGAGGAGCTGGTGCGTAAGAAATGGAAAAAACAAACACTTGTATGGATGAATAGGAAAAAAAAGTTGATAACCAACTTGGTTTTTAACCTTGAATTAGCTTCAAGAATACGACGCCGTTGCTATAAGCCGCCAGCTTTTTCTGTTCGTTTTTTCGGTTACAAAACGCACCGTTTTCTTATTTCCCAAATGAGTGTTTTTTGTTTCTTCTAGATAGATGGCTGGCTGTCAACAAAATCCAAAAGCTGCTCTGCATCTGAAACATTCGAACCGTCATTAAAAAAAAAATAAAAAAAAAAAGAGACAAATATTATAAAATACGGAAAAAGATATTTATAAATAATTAATTTTTTTATAATTAAAAAAAAATTATTTCAAACTAGTAATTATTTAATTTTGTAAATCACATTTTAAATGTATTCCTGTTACATGTTTAATTGTACAAAAAGAAGATCCTTCCAACTAATTACAGTTGGTCAAATATTTATTCCATAATGGCGTGCATTCCAAAGAAAAAGTCTACTCTTAAATACACTATTTTCTTTTACCAACATTATTTGTACATCTTAAAAGAAATGCTGACGTGTTTCTTAATTATTATCATAATATATATACATATATATATATATATATATACATACATACATACATACATGATACTTGTATCAAAATTATTAAAATTATAATATATATATATATATATATACAAATGATTGAAATCGATCTCCACAAGTTTCATATTTGGGAAGCTTTTTATTATCACCATCTCTCAACCTATGTAATTCATGATACGTGGCATTTATTGGGTACAATTGAAATTTCAAATCACATATAAGTTGTATTTTAATTTTCTTTTTAACTCTTAACTTAATAATAAAATATTTAATTAAAATTAATTATGAATATACTTTACATCATTACGTCAAAAATAGTTGTTACTTAAACCAAGAGTCACTTATTGGGTATTTAAACAAAAGAGGTAAAAATGACTCTTGATAATTGAAGATTCTCCTTGACTATTAATTTGGAGTTATGAACTAATTCATCACTATTATTATACTTGACCGCCTGTTTAATATTCTATTTTTGTCCGATTCGGCATATAGGCATCTTAAAAATGTGCAAAATTAATTTCGTTTTTCGTTTATCCTCACTCTAGTTAATTAGCCACATGCATGCCGGGAGAGGTGAAAAGGAAAAGAATAGTGAGGGAGGGAGGGAGTGAGTGAGTGAGTGTTGGGAGAGGTGAAAAGAAGAAGAATAAAAAGATGGTTTAACAAACATAGTCTAGAAAAAATGATGATAAGGACTAAGGATTTTTAGTAAATCTACTTACATTATTTTACTTGTACCACTTAATTTAAAATTAAAATATATAACGATTTTTGTACAATTATTCAAAAATAAAGTCATCTTTACTTTTTTTTTTAAAATAAAAAAAAACTTAACCAAGAAGATTTATTTTTTTAATTTTACAAAATTGTAACGAAATCTTTCTAATTTGCCTAATTATTATTATTTACTAAAATAAATAAATTAAAAAAAAAAAAAAAAAATTAGTAATCGCTTAACTAGCATTATAGGATTCAATCAGATAAAGATAAACTTAAAAAATTTAAAAAAAAAAATTCACAAATTTTTTCATAAGCTTGAGGTGTATAAACACTCCATGAAGCATACTTAATAGTTTGACAGTAAATAAACATTTATTTATCTTTTCAGATATATAAATGCACAACAATCTTGTCCGTGTCTGTTAATAGATTAAAAAGGCGGAGAGCTTCTCCAAAACGCCAACGTTTTAATACCCTTTCGTTTACTTTTAGCTCGTTGCTATAGGTTGGGCTTTATTAATGGGTTTTTGAGTTTTGTGTATGGGCTCAACGAAATGTGTTTAATTAAAATGTTCTTATTATTATTACTTTTAAATTTTTTAATCAATTAATTGCATTAATTTTTTTATTTCATTTAATTTTCTCATCTATATCATTTTACCAAATTTTATCTCGTAATTTTTCGTGAACATGATTTTTAAACTCTTCAAAACATTTTTAATTTTTCGTTAGATGTACGGTAAATAAGAAAAAATATATAATTTTTCGAAAAATATTTCACATAACATTTGTTTTGAAGAGTCTAGTCTAGAAACCTAAAAAAAAAATGCTGTCAAAAAAAAATTGGCAATTAAAACAAAATTATGTTGATAAGAAAAAAAAAAAAAGAAGAAGATGCATAAATAAATATGAGATAAAATTTCAGACTTCAAAAAAAATTTATGAGTAGAGAAAATGATTTAAACTGCTACTCTAACCTATAAAAAGAGATGAGCAGAGTTCGAAATAAGATTCAAGCGGAGGAGAAGAAAAAATTAAAAAAGAGAGAAGATAAAAGGAAAAAAGAGAAAAATGAAGGGACTTATAGGTTGCCAAGAGAAGAAAAAAAAAAAAAAAGTGGTTGTCATTCTCTCTCATCCGTGACATCATTGTTAATGTCATCTATTTCATCTTTTTTCTATGAAAGTTTAAATTTGATTTTGTTTACATTTTTTTTTTCTTCAAGTTCTACACAAGTAAAAGTTGTTTCTTTATTGTTCTGAATTTAATTCTCAGCGGATTATCTTGTACTTATTTATGTTACTAGTGAATTTGATTTAAAATTTGACTCTTAATTTTTTTCTTCACACTAACAAATTTTTCACGTAAAATTTTATATTTAGTCTATTTTGCAGTTATTATCTGTTTATTATTTTTACTCGGTTATGCATCAATTGGCGTGGAATTATTATTATTAGTGTATACAAATTAATTTGATATTATCTTAATTTACATAATTAATTATATCTTTGTTCGGGATCCAACAATTGATATCAGAACTTGGTTGATATGTGGTTTAGAATTAATTGTGTAAATTAGAATGGACGATTATATAGATATTATGATTAAATTGACAGCTTCAAATTATTCAATTTAGAAGATGAAGATGGAGGATGTTTTTTATTGTAGAGATCTGTATGATCTTATTAAATTAGGAACTGGTAAACTAACTAGAAAATCATAAGACAATTGGGAGAAAATACAGAGAAAACTATCAGAACTATTCGACAGTGGGTGGATATCAGTATCCATTACTATATAAGCAAAAAAGTCAATGCACAGGACTTGTGGAAAAAATTGAAGAATATGTACGAGAGAAAAAATGCTCAAAATAAATATTTTGTTATTAGAAAGTTGATGAATATGAAGTTGCAAGTTGGATAGTCAATAACGGAACATCTGAGTGAATTCAAAGATTTGGTAAATCAATTGAGTATTAAGAAATTAACTATAGATGATGAAATGCAGCCATTATTACTTTTGAATTCGTTGCCAGATTGTTAGGAGATCTTGGTGTTGTCTCTTAATAACTCTGCTTCAGAAGGTGTTTTGTCTTCATTCATGGTAAAGAATAATCTCTATAATGAGGAGATCTAAAGGAATGATATGAGCAATGATACCTCACAAATGCTTATCATAGAGATTAGGGGTTAAAGTAGAAGAAGAGATCTTAAAGGACACAATAAACAAAAATTCAGTTGTTATCATTGTGGTAATGAATGATATA